TGGCCAACAGTTTCGCAGGGCTGGGGAGGCCTCAGGAAACTTACAATCATGGTGGAAGGGGAAGCAAACATGCCCTTCTTCACAAGGCAGGAGGAGAGAGAAGAATGAGAGCTGAGGGAAGAGGGAAGCCCCTTATAAAACCATCAGGTCTCTGCCACTTCTGCTGCCACTTCTGGGCTGATGGCCAGGAGAATATAGAGAAGCAGACAGTTCAAGGATGCTTTGCAGAGCCAGGATTAGAAGCTCTGCATAGGAATTACAGGCCACTGGTCATCCTTCTTAACATGCTATTCACATCCATGGGGAAGCACTTTGGATACAGAGACTTAAACATCTTGAATACTCTCCCTTCCTTTGTGAACTCACCTCACAATTTATTGCCCTTTGTTAACATGGTATTTAAGGCCCCAGGTCTAAACACTCCTCTGAGTTTTCACTTATCTTCTGTGAAACTTCTGTGCATAAAAAATTAAAACATGTGAGCCCTTTCTCCTGTAAAGCTGTCTTTTGTTAGTTTAATTCACAGGCCCCTATCACTGAACATAAAAGGGTAGATAAAAAGATATTATTTATTGTCTCCCATAGTTTGATTGTAAAATGGTGCAGCTGTTGTGGAAAATGAAGTGGTGGTTCCTCAAAAAGTTAAACACAAAATTGCCATGTGATCTAGTGATTCCTTTTCACGACAGCCAAAAGTAGAAACACACAAATAAATGTCCCCAGACAGATGAATGGATAAACAAAATGTAGCATATTCATACAATGCAATATTATTCAGCCTTAAAAAGGAAGGAAATTCTTAGCCAGGCATGGTAGCTCATGCCTGTAATCCCAGCACTTTGGGAGGCCAAGGTGGGCAGATCATGTGAGGTCAGGAGTTCGAGACCAGCCTGGCTAGCAGAGCAAAACCCCATCTCTACTAAAAAATACAAAAATTAGCTGCATGTGGTAGCACATGCCTGTAATCCCAGCTACTCTGGAGGCTGAGGCAGGACAACTGCATGAACAACCCAGGAGGTGGAGGTTGCAGTGAGCTGAGATTGTGCCACTGCACTCCAGCCTGGGTGACAGAGTGAGACTCTGTTGTGCAAAAAAAAAGAAAAAAAAGAAGGAAATTCTGACGTATGTTACGATGTGAATGAAACTTGAGGACATTGTGCTCAGTAAGAGAAGTCAGAGAGTAAAGGACAAATACTGTAAAATACCATTTATATGAAATACCTAAAGCAGTCATATTTATAGAGACAGAAAATAGCATGGTGGTTGCCAGGGACTGGGGTAAAGGGAGAATGGGGAGTGATATGGTTTGGCTGTGTCCCCACCCAAATCTTATCTTCAATTGTAATCCCCATAATCCCCACATGTTGAGGGAGGGACCAGATGGGAGGTGATTGGATCATGGGGATGGTTTCCCCCATGCTGTTCTCATGACAGTGAGTTTTCACGAGATCTGATGGGTTTTTGGGTTTTATTGGAGACAGTCTCATTCTGTCACCCAGGCTGGAGTGCTCTTGGCTCACTGCAACCTCTGCCTCCCGTGTTCAAGCAATTTTCCCACCTCAGCCTCTCAAGTAGCTGGAACTACAGGTGTGTGCCACCACACCTGACAAATTTTTATATTTTTAGTAGAGATGGGGTTTCACCATGCTGGCCAGGCTGGTCTCAAACTCCTGACCTCAAGTGATCTGCCTGCCTCAGCCTCCCAAAGTGCTGGAATTATAGGTGTGAGCCACCACACCTGGCCATCCAATGGTTTTATAAGGCAGTTTTCCCTGCCTTTGCTCCCTCACTCCCGCCTGCTGCCCTGTAAGACACACCTCTTTCCCTTCTGCCACGATTGTAAGTTTCCTGAGACCTTCCCAGCCATGCAGAACTGTGAGTCAATTAAACCTCTTTCTTTTGTAAATTACCCAGTCTTGGATGTTTCTTTACAGCAGGGTGAAGACGGGTTAGTACAGGGAGTGAGTGTTTAATGAAGACAGAGTTTCACTTTAGGAAGATTAACAAATTCTGGAGATGAATCGTGGTGATAGCTGCACATTATTAATATATTTAATCTTGTCAGGCACAGTGGTTCATGCCTGTCATCCCAGTACTTTAGGAGGCTGAGGCAGGAGGATTGCCTGAGTCTAGGAGTTCAAGATCTGCCTGTGAAACATGACAAAATCCCGTCTCTACAAAATATATAAAAATTAGCCGGGCATGATGGTGCATGTCTGTAGTCCCAGCTACTCAGGAGGCTGAGGTGGGAGGATCGCTTCAGCCTGATAGGAGGAGGTTGCAGTGAGCTGAGATCATGCCACCGTGCTCTAGCCTGGGCAATGAAGGGAGATCCTGTCTCAAAAAAAAAAAAAAAAAATGGTTAAGACATGTATTTTGCTATAATTAAAACAAAACCAAACAGAACATCCTCATGGCCAGAGCGTCTGAAGACTTGGAGAGATTCTTCAAGCTCTAGGACAGGGAGTAGCAAATTGCAATCTGAGGGCCAGACCCTGCCCAAGTCATCTGGGAGCTAGGAATAGGTTTTTTTTTTTTTTTTTTTTTTTTTTTTTGGTTTTTTTTTTTTGAGACAGGGTCTCGCTCTGTCACCCAGGGGAGCAAACACAGTTTACTGCAGCCTTAACCTCCCAGGCTCAAGTGATCCTCCCACCTTATCTTCCCAAATAGCTGGGACTATAGGCGTAAGCCATCATGCTCAGCCTGAGAATAATTTTTACAGCCATGTGTTTGCAATAGACCAGATAATAGTGAAAACCAACTTTAAACCCTAAGTTTTGTACTCAGTTATTATTATATTTTGAATTTCATCAATAAGAAATATGTGAGAACTTTGTTTTCTCTTTTATCATATATGTACCTACATAATTTCCTAGAGTTTTCTTGAAATAGTTCCTATCTGGCACTTTCTTTTCTTTCCTTCCTTCCTTCCTTCCTTCCCTCCCTCCCTCCCTCCCTCCCTCCTTCCTTCCTTCCTTCCTTCCTTCCTTCCTTCCTTCCTTCCTTCCTTTTCTTGATGGAGTCTCACTCTGTCACCCAGGCTGGAGTGCAGTGGCACGATCTCAGCTCACTGTAACCTCCGCCTCCCGGGTTCCAGCGATTCTCCTGCCTCAGCCTCCCAAGTAGCTGGGACTATAGGTGCCCGCCACCACACCCTGCTAATTTTTGTATTTTTAGTAGAGACAGGGTTTCACCATATTGACCAGGCTGGTCTCAAACTCCTGACCTTGTGATGTGCCTGCCTCGGCTTCCCAAGTGCTGGGATTACAGTTGTGAGCCACTGTGCCTGGCCCTACCTGGCACTTTCTAAAGAAAAGTCCAGGGTGACAGGATGGGCACTGCTTTGGTAGTATTCATTCCAAAGTTCTCCCAGGCTCAATTTAAAATTCTAGGCCAGGCTCTGTGGCTCATGTCTATAATGCTAGCACTCTGGAAGGCTGAGGCAAGAAGATCACCTGAGCCCAGGAGTTTGAGACTAGCCTGGGCAACACAGTAAGACCCCATCTCTACGAAAAATAAAAAAATTAGCAAGGCACAGTACTGCATACGTGTGGTCCTAGCTACTCAGGAGGCTGAGGTGGGAGGATCATTTGAACCCAGGAGTTGAGGCTACAGTAAGCTATGATTGCACCACTGCACTTCAGCCTGGGTGACACAGCAATACCACGTGTCAAAAAAAAAAAAACATTATAGAAGCAGTGCTGGGGAAAAATTCACATGTTTAGACAGGAAAGGTATGAGGGTTGATGAAAATCCAGCTCGTGACTCAATGAGGAGAGCGTGTTTCTAGAAGTCAGTGCCTGTCCTGGTCACTCCTGTCCAGGCCATCTGGACTCACCCATGCCTCGGAGTTCCACAGCAGGGCGGCAGAGCTGGAGGGCTTCATGGACCAGGCCAACCTCAGGAGAGTCCAGGTGAGGGGCACACAAGTCAAAGTCGTCCAGCAGGTCTTCGATGCCCCCAGAGATGCCCCGGCAGGAGATCCAGCTCATGCTGCCTGAGGGAGAGAAGAGGGGAGGATGTGGGAAGTGCCTACCTCCCTCTAGTTCATCCTGGGAGGTGGAGAATCATCTCTCCATTTCCTCCAGGGCATCTCAGGCTCAGCAGTAGTGACCATGGGGCAGGATCATTCTCTGCGGTAAGGGGCTGAACTATGCACTGTGGGTTGTAAAGCAGCATCCCTGGCCTCCACCTACCAGATACCAGTAGCACTCCCACCCCAAGTGTGACAATCAAACATGTCTGCAGACATTGTCAAGTGTCCCCCGGGAGGGCAGAATCTCTTCTGGTTGAGGATCAGAGGGATGGGTGAATAGATAGATAGATAGATAGATAGACAGATAGATAGATAGATAGATAGATAGTAGGTAGATGAGAGATAGATAGATAGATAGATAGATAGATAGATAGATAGATAGACAGATAGATAGATAGATAGTTGGGTGGATTGATGCATGGATGGACAAACAGAAAGATAGGTGGGTGGATGGATAGAATAACGGGTGGATGGATGGATGGATGGATGGATGGATGACCAGAAAGGTAGATGAATGAATAGATAATGGACATATAGATGGGTGGATGGATAGAAGGATAGAATGATGGATGGATGGATGGACAGAGAGAAGGATGAGTGGATGGATGGATGGATGGATGGATGGTTAGAACCAGCTCACGGCTCAATAAGGAGATCATAGATGGATGGGTGGATAAATGGATAGTTAGATGGATAGATGGATGGATAGGTGGATAAATTGATAGTTAGATGGATAGATAGATGGATGAGTGGATGTATGGATGTATGGATGGACAGACAGAAGATGGGTGGATAAACAAATGAATGGATGGATAGGTGGATGAATGGACAGACAAAAAAATGAATAAACAGATGGTTGGCTGGATGGTTGGAAGGTTAGATGGATGCATAGATGAATGGATGAATGGATAGATGGATGGATGGACAGAAAGATGGGTGGATAAATGGATGGATGGATGGATGGATGGATGGATGGATGGATGGATGGATGGATGGATGGATGGATTGACAAATAGACAGACAGACAGACAGACAGATAGGGTCTCTCATGATAAGGCAGGGGTTTTCACCCTGTGTGCTAACAACATTTGAAGCTAGATTATTCTCTGTGGTGGGGTGTCCTGTGCACTGTAGGGCATTGAGCAGCATCCCTGGCCTCCACCCCCAGATTCAAGTAGCGCCTTCTCCCCTAGCTGTGACAACCAAAACTATCTGCGGACACTGTGAGGCATCCCCTAGGTGTAGAATTGCCCCTTGTGAGAACCTCTGCTTTAGGAGGCACGAAGGATTTCCAGGTTTGCCTTTCACCCTCCCCAGGCTCCAGAAGGCTGGAGCGCGGTGCGGTCACCAGGCTCAGTCCCCTGAGATGGAGGAAGCCCTTACCCAGAACCTCCTGTTTCAGTTCCTCCAGGCGGCCCGAATGAAGCAAGTGATAAGGCAGCTCCTTCAGCTTCCGCAGGTTTGCAACCGTGTCTGAGAACCACAGAGGCTGAGGGGCCACCTGGCAGAGGAGAAGGGAGACTGCAGCTTGGACACAAGCCCATTCATTCACTCCACGCACAAGCTCATTCATTCACCTCATGCTCTAGACAGTGCTGGAGGGGATGAGAATGCAATGTCAGACAGACATACTCCCGTGTGCCCATTGGTCAGGGCTGGGGCAGAGGATGACATTTGGGACTCAGAGAATCAAAGCCAGAGGTCATGGGACTTTCCGGGAGGAATAGGGAATGTTTCCTGAAGACAGAGGCATTGGAACTGAGTCTCAGAATTAAGTGGGCGTCTATGTGGCAAAATGTGTCAGAAAACAATGGCATTCCAGGGCAAGGGAAAAGCATGGGCAAAGGCCTGGAGGTGTGAAAGAGCAGGCTGAGTTTAGGAGGACTGAATTATACACGGCAGGTTATGGGATGCTGGTGGGGAATGAGAGTAGGGAGCTTGTAAGCAGCAGATCATGAAGGCACTGAATATCAGGCTGGGTAGGTCAGGCTCAAGACTGAGGGCACTGGGGAGTTATGGAAGGTTTTAGACAAGAGGCATAATCAGATTGGATGGTCAGAAGCATCCTTGGGAGGATGCACTAGGGCAAGAGACTGAGAGGCTAAGTGAATGAAACGGGCTCAGACCATGTCCTGGAGAGAGAGGATGAAGCTGAGCCTGCAGGGGCTCTGGGCACACAGAAGAGGATTTGTGAATGGGCCTCTGGGTCATTGGAGAGGAGAAGGGTCAGCACCAGGCTTGGTGTGGTAATTCTACCTGTAATTACATGCCTGTAATCTCAGCCCTTTGGGAGGCCAAGGCGGGCAGATCACTTGAGACCAGGAGTTTGAGACCAGCCCGGCCAACATGGCAAAACCCTGTCTCTACTAAAAATAGAAAAATTAGCCAGGTGCAGTGGCACACACCTGTAGTCCCAGCTACTAGGGAGGCTGAGGCGGGAGAACCGCTTGAACCCGGGAAGTGGAGGCTGTAGTGACCTGAGATCATGCCACTGCACTCCAGCCCAGGTGACAGCAAGACTCTGCTGGAAAGAAGGAAGGAAGGGAGGGAGGGAGGGAGGGAGGGAGG